AACGCTTGATATGAAGGTTATAGTTGTGTTTATTTCGTGAATTAATTAAAAATTAAATTGATTAAAATAAAATAATAATGTCTAAACTATTTTCGTTTTTATCAACAATATTTCTAAATGTGAAATATCTAACAAGGTTAATAGTTGTGCTATATCGTCAATTAATTCAAAATCAAACTGATTTAAAACTGAACACTTAAATAATCAAGCTAGTTGCATGAAAGTAGGATCAGATCAGATTTAGCTGAAGGTAGCTGGGATCAGAAAGTCACCAAGAGGGTTAGGAAAAGGAGTTGGGGACTAAAAATCAAAAGAAGATCAACATTTTCTCTGAAAATGTTGAACATCATGCCAGTTATCAACAATCTTTCAAATAAATAGATGAATATTGATCATCTCTAGAAGTCTTGTGGAGAAGCACCAGAAACTCTTGAACATATCTTCTTCCATTGCCCTCGGGCCAAAAGAATTGAGGAAATTCCACTAATTACTTGGGAGGGACTGCAACGAGAAACTGACAGCTTCAAGCATTGGTGGACCAAAATTTGCTCACTCAGTATAACAACTGTAGATTCACGAATTCAATTGACTTCTTACCTTGTTTTGTGGTTGGAAGACGCACAATTTGTGGGTTTTTCTAAACTACTGGCTCTCAAAATACTCTATTATACATTTAGCTTCTTTGGATTGGTTAGAGTACTTAGTTGCACTGTTTAGTCTTTGTTTCTGCGACAGTTAGGGAACCTGGATTGTCCGACGCGTGAAGGTAGAACGACGTTGGTGGATCATCAGAAAGAGAGATCGCGGTCGTCATAGTGCAGTAGACATAGATCGACAATTGATCGAAGTAGATCGTCAAAAAAGTTTTCTACAGATTGAAGTACATATAGCTTTGCAACAAATCGGAGTAGGTTTAGGTTTCGATTTTGAAGTAGAAAAACAGAAAAAAAGAGAGAAAACAAATGTTGCAGTGGAAAAATGATCGGATTTTAGCAGACGATGATACCATATTAACTCGAGCAATTGAGATGAATTGCAGAGAGAAACCAAAAAAAGTTTGAGAGACGAGAGATGAAGTGATGATGAAAAAGAATGAAAAAATGAATTAAAATTAGGATTTGGTAAAGTGTACAATCTATTTATATTCTCCTACAAAAATAGCTTTCAATTAAAGTTGCTTTACAACTATAAGCAACTTAATACCAATAACAACTCTTAAAGTAAATAATAAATCTAGTATAACAAAATTCAAAGGACACAATTCTCCTGAAGTTAAGATCAAATGATAATAATGGATAGGGCCGGCCTTGGCGCAAGGCAACCTGGGCAACAACCCAGAGCCCAATTCAATTAAGGGCACCCGACCGGTTCATGTATACGTCTTTTATTGTTTATTTTAGAAAAGGGTTAATTGCATAAAAAATCACCACCTTTTGTTTAATTGCAAATAAAACTCAACCTTTTCAATTTAGCAAAAAAATACCTAACTTTTATTAAGTGTTGCAATTTTGTCTCGTCCGCCGGACCGCCGCCGCCAACCGCCACCCGCCGCCGCCAAATTTGCCGGATATTGGAA